AGATAATAAATATAATAGTGAAAGTAAATATAACTATGAAAATAAATATAGTAAATAAAATAATGATAAATATAATAATAATGAAAATAAAGAAAATGAATATCACAACGATAATCGTGATAGCAGTGAAAATGATGATCACGATTTTCCTGGTGATCATTGGTGACATTAATTGGCGCAGTCATCTAGTGACGCAAACAGATTATCACTAACAACGTTGCAAATTGTAACAAATATTTTATTAATGCTTAAATTGTTGCTAAACTAATACATTATTAAGGTAAATCTAGTGATGAAGAATTTGATAAGAAACGAATTAACTGTGATGTAAAAAGATCAAAGTGCTTCCGAGTAGCAGTATATGATTATGAGGCCCATTAACCAATACTATATTGAAATTTATGCAATAGCCTAGTGATTAAAGTAAGAGACTATCTCTTAGAATTTCTTTTAGACTTGTTATTAGAGTTCAAAGTAATCCTTTTTCTAGTCTTGTTCTTTGAACTCGGGGAATCGAAAGCAATCGCTTGATTTAATTTTATCCATGGAGGAGAAATTACGCATATACTGAATTTGTTGATGTGGTGTAAATGGTGGTACCCTTCGATTTTTATAATCTTTCGCAAGTCCAGATACACGTCTCTGTAAATGCATATACTTTACTATAAATTTTAAAATAATGAAACATGATATGTATATAACAAAAATATGGTATACCTCTAAAGCTACAAAATGTGCAAAATTTGAAAATTCACAACTATTTTGTAAATTTTGAAGCTGATCGTCTATATTTTTTTCATCCTCCAAATATTGCTTTTGTTCAACAAATTCAATTGTACCCTTAACAATCATCTGTGAAATAACAAAAATTATTAGATGTAAGCGATTGCAAACTACAAGTGCTTATACAAGTACATACCTTCGCTTTCCATGCCAACACAATTATAGGAAGTACCTTTGAGCCGAATTGTATTATTTGAGAGGGGATTTCCAACATTTTTGTTCGAGTTATTCGACATGTATAGCCAGCAGGGGAATCCAATCTAAGTAATAACATCATCAGACCTAAATTTAGTTCACAAAGAAATGATAAAATAAGTCACTAGTCTGAACAATATACAACTTGAGAAATTCCATCATCAAACCTACCCGAGTGTATAAACCCGATCGATTGCAGTTTCCTTATCCTTTTCTCCTCCATCCCAACAGCTTCACACAAAGAATAAAACATATCCTTCATCATCTTCGGAGCTTTTATACCTCTTTCATGCAAAAGTTTTGTCCCATTGTTACCTTCGAAAGATTTACCGGCCTCTGAACATCCGTACTCAGTAGAAACCTTTCGAATGATGAGATCTCCACGCCTTCCCATAATCTTTCTCTTCACTTTGACAATTGCAGATCCAGTTCGATTACGATTTTTCCTATTCGAGGATGCCCGGCTAGATGACTCTGACCTGATGCAAAAAAAGATGTGAACCACTTATCATAGAAGAATGGTTATAGTGTTATCTTCCCTACCTTGCGGTTTCCAATCTATCGACATTCCCAAATCCTCTGTCTATAAAATTCCAAACATGAACTAAGAGCCACAATTCCAGATGATCCTTCTCTAAACTTCCCGCTTCATATTCATGTAACCTGTAGATCAAGATAGAATTAATAATCCAGGAATAAAAAAATAATTTACTATCGGACAGAACCTACAAGTTGTACGCGGTATTTCGAATCCAATCATGATCAAAATGTGTTTGTCGATTGTATGGAGAATCCCACTGCTGAGATTTAAATATAGCATCTCTGAGGCCTGAGATGTCGGACTAATTCAGATGTACAAGTAAGTAAATGATCATAATAGTATTATCAACAAGATATATAAAACTACCTACCACCCGAAAACTGTTAAGATATGTTAATAAGTCTTGGGGCATCTGTGGCATTGGCTTAAGTTTATATTTTCGAATTTCATCAAGTTCTATCTCAGTAAAAACTTCTTCATTGATATAAATTTTATCATTTGGATCTATCACAAATGAATGACATAGGCTTTGGAAAGTCGCAAAATGTTAGATGTCAAGTAATAGAACCTGAGCTTTGTCCAATACATAAAGGATACTTACTGTTCGTGCCTGCATTTAATACCAAAATTGTATAGAGCATCTTCTACTATTTTTCCCGTAGAAAGAATCCATTTATCCGAGTCATTCATTTCTAAGTATGTCTTTTCGAATTCAGTCAACTCTATCTTTGTCTTCAACTTACTATCATCTACAACAGTATCATCATTATCGGAACTGTCACAGGACGAACTATAAACGTAGTCATCATCATCATCAACAACAGATTCCATACCAGATTCCGGAGAGTAATATTCTTCGGTTTTATCAGCTATCTTCATCTCCCTTAAAAATTCGTCGTGAAGTGGCGAATCGCTTCTTGGTCTTATAATACTCTCATTGTCACTTTCATCATCGTGAGCTGGGATCTAGATGTTGAGAAGAAAAAGTGAATTTACTACGCATGATGTTTTGTATGTTGGAAGCACGACGGAAAATATCTACATTATCTTCCGGTGTACTCGGCTCTTTATACCCTTGTCCACGTTGATACTTGTATGAACGGGCATCTTCCGTACCATCATCATCTGCTAAACGCTTTCCGATACTTTTCTCAGTAATATTTGAGTTTAAGGCATAATTTAATTTTTTCCGGTCAAAGATTCGATGAGCCTCGTTTCCCGTTAAAGTACGATCGACCGAAAACTGAGTCTGCAAAACCATAAAAAACATAAAAGTTGGTATTGTACTAACTTGATACTTAAAGATACAATATCAATGCTGGACACATACCTCAGCTAACTCCACTTTCATCTCTAATAACCTTTTTTCTGCCTCGATTTTTTCGGTTTCAATACTCCTCCAAAACGATTTTACATCTTTTGTAGCTACAGAAATAGAAATAGTAAGAGAATGATTAAAAAAAGGGCTAAACCATCCTGAAGACAGAGCAGGAATCAGCAGGACTACGAATGAACATAGTAATTCTTGGCACTGTGGCATAGTAGGCACTGGCCTTCACGTAGACTTGGAATGAAGCCCACCAGAGATAGTACTCCGTTATTAGATTGGTGCGTAGGCAAGCATTTTAGGTGGTTGTTCTGGCATAGTAACCCAACTCCTTCCTATCCTTTGCATCCAAATATAAAACTTAAATAAAATAGATACTCGCCTTTAGTACTTCTTCGTTGAGAACGGAGGTAGCCTTTTTCCACTTTTTGTCCGTTGTACCCTCTGCGATCCAAATCACAAATTTAAATATCATTGAGTGCTCGACTCGCTTATTACAAGTGAAGTCTAATTTTGTTTTACGGAAATTCAAAATAGAAAGGAAACTGAAGGTGTCGGGATCCAAGGCCATCTCCCAACCTTCAAACTATAATTATAATTTCACATTTTTTCAAGGTGAAACTCGGAAACAAACAAACGTTTAAACTTCATACTATCTGTTGAAAGCTCACCTTTTTCATTTCGATGGTAGACATTTGTGGCTTTTTAGGAATGAGTAACTCGTTAAAAAAAAAAAATTCTAATGATTACAGAAAAACAATCTTGATTTCTTATATTTACCTACCCGTGACAATACGTCATTGATTATCTGATAACGTGATACACAAATTTGCATAACTGTGATTTAGTATAGTAAATCCCGCAATAAAATGAACACATTTAAATATGAAAAATTGGCATAAACAATGATTTATTTTTTGGATACACTGCGAAACTATATCATGCTAGAGAAGCGAATGAAATGTATGATCAAAGAGGGAGGGAGTACGCGGATCCTAGGCCATTTAATGCGAGTCCCAGCATCAAGTTATTTATTTGCTCTCACATTTTCGAAGAATATTGTATCTATAATTAACAAAATTATTTACGCCTATCTATTTTTCTAACTACACCCCATAATCTTTCTCTACATTAGAATTCCGAAATAAATTATACCACTTATATCTACAGAATTTTCGTCTATCCCACCCACAGATTATGTAATAGATCATTTCCAGCAAGAGAACTTCCCCAAGATGAAATAATTTCAAATCTGTATGAAGAATTCTGAGATTAGCAACGCGGTAAAAGAAATAAAACAAGTTGAGGCTTCCGATTCACACTTACTGCTATACTTCATTTTCACAACATTTCCATTCCTCCTCACATTCAAGAAATTTGTTAGTTAATGCGTTAATTACGCCAAGCATCAAGAATTCGGATGCCATTGCCGAAAAATTTTATTCAATATATTGCGCACTGTATCTCAGCATGTGACGAAAATCTGGGGATAGAAATTAATATTACGCTGATTAGGTACATGACAATGATCACGATTTTCTCAGCGAATATCAAATGAGTGGAAAGAATCAAGAAAGGTAATATGTCCGCTTTATTTTTAAGCATCTATAGAGCTGGAGAAAATGATTAGCATTGTGATGACGATTTTCTAGAATCAAGCCAAGAAATCAAACAAACTAATTTTGCTATTACTTTGCAATTTGATTGATTGTTGATATTGTTGAGGTTAATAGTGGTAAATTTGAATATTTGTTTTGATCCTTTTTTGCTTTACTTATATAAGGTGGATAAAAGGATTCACTAAATAAAGCTTCACCTTTTTATAAGATTTGTAGTATATTTAAGGATCGATTTTTGGAATAAATCTTTGGGAAAATTATGTTATTATAATTCATCACGAAATTAAATTAACGGATACTCCTTAAAATTATAATAGACACTGGGATCGTGTCCCTGGATCAACAAGGAGATCTTTTTTATTATTAATATATATAAAAGCTTGAGTATATGTGGGAAGTTTCGAGAATAAATGATATAGTGGTAATGACTTGTTCTCGTAATACATGATGACTTTTTTAAACGATACTGCGCTTTTATCAAGTATTGATTCACAGATGAAAAACTGATTAAGAAATATTAGCATACAAACACATCTTACACTCTCCTCAACACATACTAGATATGACATATAAATATATTGTGTTTAATGTGCCTTAGCTTTATTAATTGTAAATAAAAAAAATACATATTTTTGTTTACATTGCGGAATAATATCTAGTGTAACAATGCCATCATGTAGCTACGATTGCAAATTTGAATTTATTGCTTGAAGAGTTACAGCTAAGACAATATTCTGTTTTATACCATTCACCATGTAATCCATAATTTCCATGTTTTCTATCGTAAATAGGACATGGTGAGCTCCATGGTTGAGGTGATGCAAAATTATAATTATCAATCCCTCTGAAACTATTTTAGAATTTCAGGTATGTAAAATGTTCTAAGATAAACTTGATAATTAATTCTGAATCGGGTTTGACTTCGAAAGTGATGGGCCTATTTTCTTTAAATTGTTTAGGAAAAGATAAATAGGATGCTTTATTTTCTGGCTTCAAATTTACAAGAAGGCTGGCTTCTGATGCATGCGCTTCTAATAATTGCCATAGATCATACCCAGTTTCTTTTTTATATTTTTTGTATTAGCTGGGCCGAATATTATTCGTCAAAACGCATAGTAAACTAGTTAATTTAGCAAGCCAATCCAGATACTTGAGGGTTAATACTTTATCAGACTTGCTCATATTGCCTTTTTATATAATTACAGATCAATTTAAATTCCTAGATAGAAAGCTGTCTACTATTTCTTATCATATTTTCAAAAAAATAATTAGATC